GATGGGACCACTGTGGCCACTGTTTCTTTTTTTTTCCGGTTGGAGGTTCCACAACTCCTGTCTCATGATATTTTTGCAGAGGTCTTGCATTCTAGCTGACTTGTTGGTGGGCGCTGCCCATCAACAGGGACAAGCCAAAAACATACAAAGCATACATACCTCATCAATCCTCATCTCATCATTCCTCCAGATTCCACCGATCAAGGTGCATTGGACTTTTGGTGTTGGAGAATCCAAGGCAGCCATCTGACCATGTGCTTTTGGCCGCTGACCTTGATTTGGGAATGAGGCGCCATCACATGTCACTACAACTTTGATTCTGTAGAATCGCTTGTTGGTGCAGATTGGCTTGGTGGTGTTTGTTGTTGTTTTCTAACCTTCTTTGTGCCAATGTCATTCTTCAAGCCCTACTATTGCCTATTGCTTTTGCTTCTGGATTCCTCCTCTAATCTTAGGAAAGCTTTGGTCCGTTGGCTCTTGTATAACATCCACAACACCTGAGCTCCCCTCTGAGAATTAGATACAGTATTTGGTGGATAGCCAAGTTTGCGAACAGGCCCTCAAGCCTAAACAGATTCATCACCCAAGAGATGCAAATTCCTCCTGCAGGAGTCGTCCTGTAGCTGGATTGCTGCGACGGAGGCTTGCCAGAAGCAGGACCCTGGTCCACTCATTAACATAGTACTGGACGATTCTTGCCTATTCGACACCGGCATTTGACAAGCCGATTCTACCCAGCCATGTTTGAACGCTTGTTGGACTACCATGTGAACTTGTGGACCCATGGCCGCCATGACCTTTGCCAGGGGGGCATTGAGATAAGAAAGACAAGCTGAAGGGTTTGAAGTCAGAGAGAAAGACTACAAGGCAAATCAAATCAATATTGTTTTCCTGCAAACTACTGTACCACCGTGTGTTCAGTGTTCAAGTGCTGCCAAGAGTCAAAGCGTTTGGTAGTTCCGTCAAAAAGGAAGACTTAACTTATGAGCTCATATCAGCTCCTGTCACCAGGAGTGATGAGAAGCAGCTGCCAGATGAGTAGCACTAGGGAGGAAAAGGTTGCCCAAATGAGAGAGCATGCATGACTGGACGACCAGATGTCAGATGACCCGATCTCAATGGCTTGCAGGCAAACATCTTGTGGCCGACTGTCAGCAGCGTCTCGAAAAGACAGCAAAGGCATGACTGTAAAGGGTTTCCTTGCAAGTGTGATTGTCGGAGGGAAGATTATATTTACTACTTACTAGTACTTATTTGGTTCTTGAGGATGTAGTTTTGAAGTCAAGCAGAGTCAACATAGATGTTTGTTTGGTTTACACCAATCCCCACGAATTGGGTAAGGGATGAGCGAGTGTGAGTGTCAGTGGGGACTGAAATCAATTCATGCGGTCAGCAGCTGGACCAAGATGATGGAGCCAGCACGTTTGAGAAGCACATGTTTCATGACCAAATGCATTGTTGGTTAATCTGTTTCAAAAACGTTCCAAGAGTTTCCTGCGCAAGATATTGTTTGCAAAAAGGTAAAATCGGTCTTCATGACAGCCCGGTTGTATTCATGACATGGCCTCTCGAGTGAGTGGCTTGACATCAAGCCTCGTTGGCTGGTCTCTCCTTGTTGGCAGGCTTGCCGTCGTTTCAAAGTCCTCAAGTTGTGACAAGTCCGCAAACGGCAGATTCCTAACCAACTAAACAACCCCATGCGGACAGTTGGATGCACAAGTGTAGTCAGTAGACCGGTTCTTGCTTTGAGACTTTACTATTCGACAAGTAAAAGACCTTGCATAATAATTCTGAACCGGGCGTCTTGCCTGTTATTCTGTTTAGCCAGGAATTGAATAAGAGTGTCGCACAATTTCATTGGACAGTGCCATCATGCTGCATGGGTGCTATGGCCAGCTGGCCTCCGGTGGTGGGCTTAGTCCTCATTTGAAAGGGCAGGAAGCAAGCTGACGAGCGCCTTACAATCTTACAAGATTTCAAAGTATTTTTGTTTGTCAATAGATGTTTGTCATTTGATTCAGAGATGGTTGGACAGGCACTTGAGTATATATTATATATATATAATACAAATATTTAGTACTATGGGTCCAAGGTGTTGCTCATCCCAACACACCCTCCTGCCAGCTACTCACTTTGTTTGCAGTTTGAACATGCTGCCAATGCATATTCACAGAACGGCGCGAATTCCCTCCAAGTACTGCAAAGACGCAAGAACACTCAGAGGGGTGAAAAGCCGAGTTGAGACTGAGATACCTCAGATTCTCGGCAAATCTTGCCGTGAACATCCATGGACCCAGAGGTTAATGACAATTGTGCTGCGCAGTGCAGTTTCAAGGAGCCCATTGGCCACATATGAAGCCTCTTTCCAAAGGAGGTTCATAGGTCATTTAGGCCAGAGGTTCCAGGTTCATTTCGCTCGTGACTCGTGTGTTGCCGCCCGACTCACCCCGTCGAGGCTTGGAGCCTTCGGAACCTCCGAGAGTTGCCATGGCCCGAAGGCCTGGTGACGCTGCAAACCTCCATCGAAAGGCCTGGTGACGCCGCCCTGCAGCGCATGCTGCCTTGCAGTGCATGTGCTAAGGGTGGGAGAGACAAAGAGAGAGCGGGTGCCGAACGTTCTTCTGAGCACCAATGTGACTTCTGGTTGACGGGAGATTCTGGCCTTACTTGCGCTTTCCTTAAACTTATCTTTGAGGCGTGCCCCGCCCGATGTCGTGGATTGCACCTCTTTGCTTCGTGCCATGCGTGGCACCAAGCCTGGCGCTGCAGCCGCGCCAGCGACAGCCTTGCAGATGCTTGAGGACATGGTCCATCGCTTCCAACTGCGTGCTCTTGAAGCAAACCCAGTGGGAAAAGAGAAAGTATGATCAAATTGTGTCCCAGGTCCCAGAACACACATCTATATATATAATTACACTAATTTTCTGAGTGGATTTGATGAAGGGCCAAATATTTGTGGAGTTGTGGCTGGCCATCACTGTGGAGGGAAGGACGTACTGATGACAGTCGCAGCCACGGCTACTTGAGGCCCAGACACAATGGCCTTCAACACCGCGCTGAGCACAGTGGCAGAGACTAGCTGGCAGCTTGTCACATGGCTGCTGCAAGAGAATTTTATTGTAGATCCCACGTAAGCCTGCTCAAATGTTGCAAAGAAGCCGGCCTCCTGAAATTTTGTCATTCAGCTAGCTCGATTCAACAGCTTTCCAGCTGCAAAAATCCTGGGCATTGCTGTTTCATCCTAAGGTCAAAGCCAGACAGCAGACAGTTCCCCAGACCCCTTATTCAATCCAAGCAGTGTTGCATCCAGCAAAGCTGGCCATTTTGTTTTGTATGTTCTATTTCTTCTGAACCTTTCTGAAGCCTTGTCTCCCTCCCAGGCATTGGACCTCTTTGCCTCAGTTCACTCTCGTCAGCTACAGCCGGACGTCTCCTCCCTCGGTTGCAACTGCCCGACCTTGTTGTGGTGGATGGTGCCGAATTTAATCATTGCAATGGGTTTCTGGGTTTCCGAGAGCTCCGCATTACCTTGCACAGTCCAAGAAGTGAAGAAGTTTCACTGTACTGGTTTCAGCTAGGGTATCGATGAGTACGTTTCTCCACCTGTGCAATTGAGGTCATCACCTTTGCTACCATCGTCGGCTCCTGCAGCAATGCCTTGATGTGGCAGCAGGTGGGTTGAAAGACTCAGAATGGACCAGACAGAGTCTCCATAATGGCATACATTTTGCCGAACCACTTTTCAGGGCTTTGGTCCTTTCGATGCTGTTTTGCCAGAGAACTGCAGCTTCGGAGTTTCCAAGCAGTGGTTCAAAAAGATGTTACCGTACTGTAGGTGTTGTGTTATTTTAATGTCCCTCAGCCAGCAACATTGACCTTCTAATTCAATCAGCGGCTGACCCTCCCCTCACAGCCGTCATAACATCAGCTCAGGTAAGAAGCAGGTAAGAAGTTAGAAGCCTAGATAGCCCCTGCTCCCCTGCACTGGTGAATCTCCACGATTTGCACACTGATGCCGCTGCCCAGAAGCTGCTGTTTTCCTCAGCCATGCCATGTGGCCATGAATGTGCTTTGAGTACGAGCGAGGACTTCAGACGAACGGTACTAGTAAGTAGTAATGCCCTTGTTTCCTAGTAGCGATGCACTTGTTCCTAGTAGCAATGCACTTGTTCCTAGTA